TGGCTTAAAAGATTTGTTCTCTTCATACAAACTGAATGGAAGAAGTTAAAGGTGATTTGAAGAAGATGGATAGTTCGAAAAATTGTTTGAAAATGCGAGGTGGGGCGCCGCCATCTTTAAAGACCCTTCCGGCAGAGGGTGTGGGCACCCACACTTGGCAAACATTGCTTTTCCTCTTTAGATCACACTCATCTCATTTCATTCAGAATTTGTCTTTCTCTTTGTTTTGGTTGTGGAGGAATTAAATCGGTAGGTTTATCTCTAATTTTCTCTTTCTCCCTTTTCATCTGGTTAGAACAGTCGAGGTTTATTAGTTGTGAAATATTGATGCGGTTGGCGGTTGCTAGAACTTTCACCTCTCCCTTTTTTCTGGGGCTTTTGATCTTGCGATGTTGTGAGGAATATTCGAGATCATAAGGAAGCGATTGGGTTTAAGAGGCCCTGGGAGTAAAAAAAATCGACTAAAATGCGGGGAAAACTTTGCGCCGTGAATTTTCAGCCAAAAGAGAATGGAAAAATCTGAAAGATGGCTTAAAAGATTTGTTCTCTTCATACAAACTGAATGGAAGAAGTTAAAGGTGATTTGAAGAAGATGGATAGTTCGAAAAATTGTTTGAAAATGCGAGGTGGGGCGCCGCCATCTTTAAAGACCCTTCCGGCAGAGGGTGTGAGTATTCAAGCAAGATGGCTGCGCCCACCACATCTCTTTGCAATTAAAAAAATTCTTAAAAATAATTTTTCTCGATTTTGTAGGTGGTACACTTAAGGCAGAGACTCGACAATGCTGTCAGCAGCTCGAGAGATCGGGCATTTCCTCTCGAAGCAACCCTAGCAATGATTCAGACACTTATAGACTGCGATGAGTTCCAGGATATTGCTACGTTACGAGTGAGTAAATCATAAATCGTAAAGATGGGATTGAAAATGACCCCATTAGATAGCTAGGTAAATTTCCCAAAATGGCTTCATGACCAAGGGTTGAAATCGGAAATTTCCCTCGCTGCGATACAAATCTGCAATAGTTCAATTATCGATAGTGGCTTTCGAGAAAAATGAATTTTCGTTCCTGCGGTTTTAACGTATTTTTTTTGTTTTTTGGTTTTTCAGAATCTGGATGAACTACTGGACCATAAATCAGACTTAAGCGACAAATTATGTCAAATAGGTGACAGTATAGTATACAAGTTGGTGCAGTGGACCAAGAGGCTACCTTTCTACCTTGAATTACCGGTTGAGGTACACACGAGGCTGCTAACACACAAATGGCATGAACTACTTGTCCTTACCACCTCTGCCTATCAGGCAATGCACAGTCAGCACAAGTTAACCAATTCGTCAGATGGTACTGGTGCTGATTTTATGCAGGAGGTAGTTATTTCTTAATTATTATTACCATTAAACCTTAATTTCCTTCATAACTCGTCAATTTAAATTCAACATATTGGTCTAAATCAGCGAGCATAATTGCAAATAAATCAGACTTGAAACGTGAACACACGACATACGAGTAAAATCAGCCAGCAAGAATCATACAGAATAAAAATAAAAATAAAACAATATGAATGAAAATGAGCCAGCATGAATCAAGTTGATAAACTCAATCGTCAGTCCAAAAATACAAAATTTCAGCTCTCTATATTATAAAAATCTAAATCGAAAAAAATAGTCTGGTGATGAAAATTTGGTACTCGAAATTACAATTCAAAAGTTGTGACAAGTGTCAAAATAAGGGTCATGAGGGTTAGAATGAGGGTCGCGAGGGTTAGGATAAGGGTTTCAAAGATCGAATTAAGAGTCATAAGGGTCAGAAAAAAGTCCTGAAGGTTAGAATAAGGGTCGCGAGGGTCAGGATGAGGGTCACAAGGATCAGATTAAGCGCCATGAAGGTCAAAGAAAGGGTCGTGAGGGTCAGAATGAGGGTCTCAAAGGTCAGGATAAGGATCACAGGGATCAAGTAAAGGGTCATGAGGGTCAAAATAAGGGTCACGAGGGTTAGGTTAAGGGTTCCAAAGATCAGATTAAGGGTCATAAGGGTCGCGAGGGTCAGGATGAGGGTCACAAGGATCAGATTAAGTGTCCTAAAGGTCAGAAAAAGGGTCGTAAGGGTCAGAATGAGGGTCAGACTAAGGATTATGAGGGTCGGAATAAGGGCCTCAAGGGTCAGGATAAGGATCACAAGGATGAGGTAAAGGGTCATCAGGGTCAGGAAAAGGGTCACAAGGGTCAGATTAAGGGTCATGAGGGACAAAATAAGACTCGTGAAAATCAATTCAAGGGTCATGAAGGTCAGAATAAGGGCCGCGAGGGTCCGGATGAGGGTCACAAGGATCAGATTAAGGGTTGTGACGGTCAAAATAAGGGTCGCGAGGATCAAATTAAGGGTGATGAGCGTTAGAATAAGGGTCACGTGGGTCGGAATAAGGGCCGCGAGGGTCAGAATAAGCGTCACAAGGATCAGATTAAGAATAATGAGGGGCAGAATAAGGGTCGCAAGTGTCAGATGAAGTCATGAGGGTCAGAATAAGGGTCACGAGGGTCAGAATAAGGGTCTTGAGGGTTACAATAAGGATCATGGAGATTATATGGGGATCATATGTGGGTCATATGGGGATTGGCGAGCGGAGCGAGCAAAGGCCGTAGCCCCCTAGTAATTCCCTAAAAACAAGAAGACGATCCACAGTTCATGTCACAGGTCCATGGCCGGTGTTTCTGAACGGAAATGATAAATCATCTAAAAAAATCGTGAAATGACATAAGTCTCCACTCCAGGCGAGAATAATTGCCTTCACCCTGAAGTTATGCAATTCCTCTCGCATTTTCTCTGACCCAAAGTGAAAGTATTGGAAAGAGTTGTGGGGGAACTATCAACTAGTTTGAGTTATTTAATTTCTGTACTTTGATACTCTAGGTATCGAACAACATGTGCACACTGCAGGCCTGCCTAACGAGCATGATGGGCAGGCCCATTACGATGGAGCAGTTGAGACAGGACGTCGGACCCATGGTGGAGAAGATAACTTACGTCACCCTCATGTTCAGGAGAGTTAAACTGAGGATGGAGGAGTATGTCTGTCTCAAAGTCATCACTATGCTTTCACAAGGTAAGTTCATCCTATCGAATTACTAATTAATGAATGATAAAATTTCCTGGTCCTGTGGGGAACGTATCGGGACCACTCATTAGGGAGATAGTTAAACAATTAACAACTGCGAAATCACCTATACTGAAATGGAAACTTTTGATTTGCCAATCGTATAATCATCGAGATAATGACGATTCACCACTTCAATAGAGAATTTTTTTCATGCATCGAGGAAATTTCCACGTTTTCATCGTCTTTCGGTAAAAAACTAATTCGAAAAATGCTCAAACTATTCGAAAAAAATCGATAATTGAGAAAAAAAAAATCTAAAAAACTGGAGAAAAGAATTTTACAGTAAAAATGGATCTCGATAATTGAAATTTCAATATTAAAATAAACCTCCAAATATTTCCATCAATTTTTAAACATGATAAATCATTTGATGTCATTGAATGACTCAAGAAAATCTGCTCCACTTTCTCCACAAAATTCCAGACCCTCAGAACTTAGAAAATCGACAAAACAATTCACAGATAAATAATTAAAAAATGCAATGGGGCCCTAAACATCATCAATCACTAATTACTCAAACCAATGTTAGTACTTCAAGTATTTCCACGTCGGTTTTACCATTCAACAAATCATTTAATCAATCAAATTAGTCCGTTAATTCTGGATTGAAGTGATAAAACGTCAAAAGTCGAATTTTCTCTCAATGAATTTCGCAATTATCTCGATAACCAGCAGTTTTAGAGTAAAATATCACATAACATTTTTTATAGAAAATCAAATTCCCCACAAAAAATGTTTTTTGACATTTTCTACAAAAACCATTTATTACCGAGAAAATCACTGATTGCCCCCCAAAAATTCTGAATTTCCTCATCTTTCTATTTTTTTAATTGCTGTAACTTCAAAAAGATGATTATAAATCATTTACTTTATTACTGCTTCCATTGGAGACGCTAAATGTAAGTCATCGACCAAAATTTCACCTCTCATCATTCAAAACTCCAAAGAAATGAATCCCTTAATAAAAAAAAAACAATTCCCTCATTTGTCTTTTTCATTTTGCAGCACGAGGAGGTACAATGGAGTTAGAGCAAATACAGGATCGTTATATGAGTTGTTTACGAAGTTTTGTGGAGCACAGTGCGCCCCAGCAACCAGGTCGGTTCCACGATCTTCTCCTGAGATTGCCCGAAGTGAGTTTATGAAAATTCCTCAGCTAAAAAAAATTGAAAAAAAAATAACTTCTCCCTAAAAACAAAAACCCCCGATGAATCCCCGGTAAATCTCATGTCACAAAAAACCCAACGGAAGTTGCGCAGTCGTCGACTGCGCACGGAGGGAATACGATGGCCACAGTAATGTGTACATGTACTACGGATACACTATCGAGTAAAGGTGCTCTCGCTGTCGCTACAATCCCTCACTGTCAATTGAAATATCTCGAAAACTATTGAGCATTCATCGAGACGTCCAGTGTGACAAATGCAGGGAATTTCATACCAAATAAAATGGTTTTCAACTCACATCTCTACGAATCGTAGTTCTCAGGATGTGGACGTTTGTGGATGGAAGCGCCCCACGGTGCACGCACTCTCTCAGAGCCTAAAGGTCTTGAGTTACTCACTCAAACGAATGATAACGCCTCAAGAATTGTGAGTCGTAGAGACATGAGTAAAAAACCATTCTATTCGCCATAAAAATCCCTTGATTTTTCACGCTGCATGTCTCGATGACTTCTCAATGGTTATCGAGATATTTCGAGTGAGAGTGGGACATTTATTTGAAACCAAAATGCATGATGTTAACACATTGTTCCTGTCACCCAAAAATATCACCTAAAACCAAAAAATTTCTACTTCCAGGTGCAATCAGCAGCGACTCTTCTCCTCGAGAGCAAAATGTTCTACGTTCCTTTCCTCCTGAACTCAGCAATTCAAAGATAGTAGCTAAAATCCCCCCCCAAACCGAATCCAATCGACGAAAAAGCGTAATATGATGGGCGATAAACCCATCGATAACTGCCCCTGGGTGTCAGGCAAAGACTTTCATGTATATATATACATATATAATAAACAATATAAATGTGTTTTTCGTTGACGTGTACAAAACTAAGGAAAAAAAAACACAAAAAACTATTGAGAATGTGAAAAATAATAATAATGATAACTAAAAATAACTAAGATGAATAAGATGAAGGAGATGAGGAGATAAAGTACTAGGTAATTTTTCATTGATACAATGGAGAATGAAAATATAAAGAAAATGATAGGGAAATTAATGAAAAATTAATTAATGAAAAGTTGAAGAAAATACAATTGACAAGAACTGAAAACTTTTATATCGAAACTAAAAGACTATATTTCTGTATGCAGTCGCGCAACTAATGTCATTGTGTGTTCATGTTGCATAATCCAATCGATTTAAATTAAGACTCTCGTACATTTTGTGCCCTGATATTGAAATTTATTGAGAATTATTGACAATTAGAGAATGATAAATTTGAGAAATTCAATTTTGAGTTGAAGTGGTCAAACGGTATTTGTCGATTATCTCGAGAGGGAGTGGACTTACGCCAAAATATTGCTGAACATTTTTTCTTGGAAATTTAATTCTGTAGAAAAAAGGTTTTGAGACATTTTCGTGTAAAATCGATCGTTAAGGAGATAATTGTGTTATTAATTGAAATTTTTTCAATTTAGTTGAAATTGTTGCAAGTTTGTTAGTTGTTTTATTATCTCGGTAGGGAGTGGTTTTCGGAAGAAATGGCACAAGACATTTTTGTAGGGAATTGAATTCCACACAAAAAATATTTTGTCACATTTTGCTCTAAAATTGCTGGTTATTGAGGTAATTGCGAAATTGATTGAGAGAAAATTCGACTTTTGACGTTTTATCATTTCAATCCAGAATTAACGGACTAACTTAATTGATTAAATGATTTGTTGAATGGTAAAACCGACGTGGAAATACTTGAAGTACTAACATTGGTTTGAGTAATTAGTGATTGATGATGTTTAGGGCCCCATTGCATTTTTTAATTATTTATCTGTGAATTATTTTGTCGATTTTCTAGCTTCTGAGGGTCTGGAATTTTGTGGAGAAAGTGGATTTTCTTGAGTCATTCAATGACATCAAATGATTTATCATGTTTAAAAATTGATATAAATATTTGGAGGTTTATTTTAATATTGAAATTTCAATTATCGAGATCCATTTTGACTGCAAAATTCTTCTCTCCAGTTTTTTAGATTTTTTTTCTCTCGATTATCGATTTTTTTCGAATAGTTTGAGCATTTTTCGAATTAGTTTTTTACCGAAAGACGATGGAAACGTGGAAATTTCCTCGATGCATGAAAAAAATTCTGTATTGAAATTGTGAATCGTCATTATCTCGATGATTACACGATTGACAAATCAAAAGTTTCCATTTCAGTTTAGGTGATTTCGCAGTTGTTAATTGTTTAATTATCTCTATAATGAGGGGTCCTGTGGAAAAACATCACCAGACCTTCTTCACGGAAAAATTCATTCTCACTACAGAATTGCAACTTCTAGAATTTTTTTTTTCAACTAAAAATGTTATAATAAATTCGATAAAAAAAGACTGCACACGTCGGTACGTGAAAGTACCCAAAAAAATCAATTAATTTTCAAGAGTGCGCACACACTCGGCCTCCTCCGATTGGCTCAATAAATCATAAGGTACGAGAATAAAGAAATTTTTTAATAATAAAACAAAATTGAAAAAACCAATTTTCTAAGTTTTTTCAGCGTTCAAAAATCGCTACGAAAAATCCCATGAACTCATCACAAACGGAAATTATCCAAAACTCCCCCAGAAGAGCCCAAAAACAACAAGAAAAATCTCATGAATGGAAAAACGAAGACAAAAACCAAAAAATCTAGAAAAAAAACTAATGAAACCGAAATTTAATTATCATTTTTGACTTCTGCCTCTGTCAAAATCATGAGAAACACGAGCAACTCGAATTTCAATGGCTGTGTGCCTTCCCCTCTGGACTTGATTAACAAAAAAAAAACTAATTAAAAAATTATAGGTAAATTGACAATAATTTTACCCCCATTCGACGACCAATTAGAATAATACGAAATCGATACTTATCAAAACCTAAGAAAATTCAAAATTATCATTAATAAATTTATAAAAATTGTTGATTAATTCGAGAATTCGGTCGTGAAGTCGTAAAACGTGAAAATTCTCGTTTCACCTTCACAAAAATGCATTTACCTCGATAACGAGTGATTGTACGAAAAAATGTCATAAAATATTTTTTGTAGAGAATAGGATTTCCCACAAAAAATGTTCAGACACATTTTCCCCTAAAACCATTCATTACCGAGATAATCACCCAATTACCGATCACCGATTAAAATTCCATCGAAATAAACTCATTTTAGTCAAATTAATTTATTAATTATCTCGTTAATGACTGCTATTATGGAAAAATGTCTTCAAAATATTTTTGAAGGGACTTTAATTGTCTGAAAAAAAATTAAAAGACATTTCTTTTGTAATTTAATCAAGAAGGGGAATTTTTCTCTCGTTTCACGACTCCACCCTTGACCGAATCGTTTTAAAATGAGTTCAGAGGCGACTGATGCACGTAATTCACGAACTAAACATGACCTTGGGCCTATTAGCCTAGGGATACGTTGTCCATACTATAAGACTTAAACTACTGGATGGAAAATTACATTATGCCGCTATAAAAATGATGAAACCAACCAATTGTGTACATTATTTGATAATTATTTGGTAAAGGGCTACTGTATTGCCAGATCATCGTCGTACCCTCGAGTGAAATGTTACCGTCATCGACATATTTATCGATCGATCGATCCCAATTAAACATCTATCTCCATGTCAATCACTTCCGAGAGTGAAAATTAATCAAAAAAGGAATGAAAATCTCGTTTAGGCTTTAGTTTTTTCTCAATATCTTGTAATTGATGCGAGATAACAAAATTTTCGTTGAGACCTTTTCTGTAGCTCTTAAAATTTTCTACAAAAAATGTAGTAATGAAATTTTTCCCATCTCCCTTAGATCCGAAGATATTTAGAAAAAATCGTAATGACAGTTTGGAAAAAACAGCATTAAACTTCCAATGTTTCTGGAATATTTGGAGAATGTGAAGAGCTAGTTCAATAAATCTAGATTCAGGAGATAGTCGGGGAAAATTCCGATTCAAAACCTCCCTATGAACCCCTCAACCCTCTTACCTCCCCTAGATAAATCCAGAAATCGATTTTCCGCCGAAAAACGATTTTATGATACACGTGAAAAAAAGTCACCTTTTTCTCACTGATATTATAAAATATCGTACGATACATACGAAAAATGTATTTCCTCACGCGTGTGATTACAGATTACCTCACACTCGACAACAACAACTTTTTTTCACTTGTGTCGTAATATAGTATTTCGATTTATCTCGTGGAGTTATAATCGAAAAAATTTCATCATAGTGTTTTATTCAGTAGGCAGATAAAATTCCCCCTCCTCTGGATCCTCCAACCCTCTCACCTCCCCTAGGTAAATCCAGAAATCCATTTTGTCACCGAAAAATGATTTTTCATGACCCGTCCGTAAAGTGAAATTTTCCGCACGCTCCGGGTGCGCAAAACCCCACTTTCCACACATTGTGATGAAAAATCGGGTTCGACACTCGTGGGAAAAGTGCTCTTTAACCCTTGAAAGGGTACTACTCGCCTTTAAACACTTTTACACACTCGTATCGAAATATACTATTTCGATATATCTCGAGGACTTGCAAACGCAAAAATTTCTTGATATTGTATTTTAGACCGGAAAGTCTCCTGAATTTTCAACAAAACCACCTTCACAGCCCTATCCTTGTGCATTCTCAAAATGTCAAAGAAAGTAGTCTATTGTGTTACTAGTGCGTAAAGTTTCACTTTTTTGCACGCACGTGTGACACATCCCATGTTTTGTGATACCTGCTGAGTCCACTGTTCGGAACGGTAGTGGGGGTAAAGTGGTTGTCTTTACCGAGTGTGAAAGTGAATTCACATTACGCATGCCCTTGAACTTTACGCACGCAGTGCTAAAAACAGCCGCTTTACGTCCACTAAACCGTTTCAGAAAGTGCACTTTTTAGGTAGGTCTCACAAAATAGTATATTTCGATCCGAGTGCGTAAAAATGTTTTTCGCTGTTTTACGTACCTCCCAGGGTCAAAGACCACTTATCCCACGAGTGTGGAACCCTATTTTTTATCGCGATGCGTGAAAAGTGGGATTTTGCGCGCGCGGAGCGTGTGTAAAATTTCACTTTCCGCGCAAGTGATGAAAAATGGGATGTGTTACACATACATGCAAAAAAGTAAATCTTTACGCACTAGTAACGCAATGTACTAAATTGAAACAAAATAGTATATTTCGATACGAGTGGGTAAATATTAATTTCGATACAAGTGCGGAAAAGTGTTTTTTGGCTCGTGGGAGGTTTACAGCTCGAGCCGAAGGCGAGTGATATAATCCCACTAGCCAAAACACACTTCTCCCATGAATATCGAACGATATTTTTCATCACAATGTGTAAAAAAAGTTGCGGAACTTGCGCAAAATTTCACATTACGCACAACTGATGAAAAATAGGATGTGTTACACGTGCATACGAAAAAGTAAATCTTTACGCACTAGTAACACAATATACTAAATTGAAACAAAATAGTATATTTCGATACGAGTGGGTAAATATTAGATTTCGATACAAGTGCGGAAAAGTGTTTTTTAGCTCCTGGGAGGTTTACAGCACGAGCCGAAGGCGAGTGATATAATCCCACCAGCCAAAAAACACTTCTCCCATGAGTATCGAACGATATTTTTCATCACAATGTGTAAAAAAAGTTGCGGAACTTGCCCAAAATTTCACATTATGCACAACTGATGAAAAATAGAATGTTTTACACGTGCATGCGAAAAAGTAAATCTTTACGCACTAGTAACACAATATACTAAATTGAAACAAAATAGTATATTTCGATACGAGTGGGTAAATATTAATTTCGATACAAGTGCGGAAAAGTGGTTTTTAGCTCCTGGGAGGTTTACAGCACGAGCCGAAGGCGAGTGATATAATCCCACCAGCCCAAAAACACTTCTCCCATGAGTATCGAACGATATTTTTCATCACAATGTGTAAAAAAAGTTGCGGAACTTGCCCAAAATT